TTCCCAGCTTCTAGCCAGCAGGTTAGGGACACAATCCCTTGCCATCCTGGCTAATAGCCATTAGGGATTTTACATCCTGTTTGTTTAATGGGTTAAATGTTACGTTTAATCCGTTAATAGATCAAACGGGAAGAGGGACTGGCCCTCCTGCCACGGAGGGGGTTGCTTTGGCCTGACTGGAGTGCCTCCTGCTATGGGTCCTCGGCTTGCCACAAAGGGGGCTGCTTCAGCTGGTGCCCCCTGCCCAGGGCAAGTGGGGCGGAGGCTGCTCTGGCCCCCACTGGTTCACCATTAACATCCCTAATAGCCATTGACGGATATATTCTCCACAAATTGAACAGTTATAGCCTTGACCTTCACAACATCCTCTTGCAGAGTATTCCACAGATTGGTTGTGTGTGTGAAGAACTTCCTTTTGTTTGTTTTAATCTTGCTCCCTATTAATGTCATTTGGGGACCCCTCTAGGTCTTGTATTATGAGTAAATAATGCTTCCTTATTCACTTTCTCCACGTAGGTCTATAAAATCGTGACCAACCTTCTTCCCCTCCCTCTTAGTTACTTTGGTTCCAAGAAATGTTTTGATAAAGGAGTTAGCAGTAAACTGTTTCAATGAAACAGAGATCTTGCATGATCTCAAAATAAAGGAGTCTAATAAAAAATGGAAACTAGGACAAATAACAAAGGATGAATATAGGCAAGCAACACGGGAATGCAGGGGCAAGATTAGAAAGGCAAAGGCACAAAATGAGATCAAACTAGCTACAGGCATAAAGGGAAACAAGAAGACCTTTTATAAATACATTAAAAGCAAGAGGAAGACCAAGGACAGGGTAGGCCCACTGCTTAGCGAGGAGGGAGAAGCAGTAACAGGGAACTTGGAAATGGCGGAGATGCTCAATGACTTCTTTGTTTCAGTCTGCACCGAGAAGTCTGATGAAGAAATGCCGAACAGTGAATGCTAGTGGGAAGGGGGTAGGTTTAGAAGATAAAATAAAAAAATAAGTTAAAAATCACCTAGAAAAGTTAGATGTCTGCAAGTCACCAGGTCCTGATTAAATGCATCCTAGAATACTCCAGGAGCTGATAGAGGTGGTATCTGAGCCTTTAACTATCATCTTTGGAAAATCATGGAAGACAGGAGAGATTCCAGAAGACTGGAAAAGGGCAAATATTGTACCCATCTATAAAAAGGGGAATAAGAACAACCCAGGAAACTACAGACCGGTCAGTTTAACGTCTGTCCCAGGGAAGATAATGGAGCAGGTAATTAAGGAAATCATATGCAAACACTTGGAAGGTAATAAAGTGATAGGGAATAGCCAGCATGGGTTTATGAAGAACAAGTCATGCCAAACTAATCTGATACCTTTCTTTGATAAGATAACGAGCCTTGTGGATAAGGGAGAAGCGGTGGATGTCATATACCTAGACTTTAGTAAGGCATTTGATACGGTCTCGCATGATATTCTTATTGATAAACTAGGCAAATATAACTTAGATAGGGCCACGATAAGGTGGGTGCATAATTGGCTGGATAACCATAGTCAGAGAGTTGTTGTTAACCTCTAAAAATTTGAAATGTAGGTCAGACCCCTTTGGAAATCTTAGATGTACTCTGTGGACCCCCATGTTGTCCACAGATCACAGTTGAAAAATCACTGTTCTATGGCAACAATGACCTTTTACAGACCCTCATGGACATAGTCTGTGGACGACATGGGTCCACAGGCCTGAAATTGAAAAACACTGGCCTGCACCATTAATGACCCAAGGGAGCCTTATTCTTGAACCTCATTGAAATTTCTTTACATAGTTAAAGAATCTATACTATAAATATTACTGCATCAGAAATAATTTCTGGTAAGTCTTTAAAGTCATTGAGCCAAATTGACTTTAGATACTTGCACACAGCACACTGAATTCAGTGAGAGTTGTACTTGTTAATGTGAAAGCAGGATTTGGACTTTCCTCTTGCGGTATCTATGAGACAATGTATGTGTGCCTGTATCTATAGTGTAGACGCTAAATTCCTTGTATCTTTGTAAAGTAGCCACACTATAAAGCCCTGTATAGACAAAGTGAAAACTGTAGTAGGATACTATGAAGCAACTCCATGGAATATTTGCAATTTCGTAAAAGAAAGGATTTAATGTTCTCCCTTCATTGCTGTACTTTGTAAATTAAATAATCTGGTAATATAAAAATGTATATAGGTACTAGTTCTAGTTATATCTGAGACTAAAAAGCCATTGAAAGTTGTGTTGTGAATGTAATACTATAACCATTTTGAAAGTCTCAGAGAGGTAGCCATGTTAATCTGTAACTAACAAAATTTTAAAAACAACAATGGTCCTGTAGCACCTTAGAGATCCACATGGGTGGATCCTTACAGCTGCTCACAACCCAGCTAAAGTGAAATGTGGGTTCTTCTGCCCACAGATAATATGGCAGGGCTAAGCTGTTAGTGGACTGAGTGTACTGTAATTCTTTGGTATGAAATGCTTTCCTTCCTAAAGATGCTCAATTCCATCTATTATCTTTTGATTTGTTTGTTCCCCTCTCCTGTAAAGGAAATTCCATACTATTTGCTTTTACAATCTAACTTTATAATCTAAATTTATAGCTTTTTTTCCCCAGGAAGAAAACATTTCAGGAAACTGTCGTAACACATTTAAAATCCAGCTTAAAGCTTTAGTCTAGAAACTTTGTGGAAAATACAGTAGAACCTCAGTTACAAAACCTCTGGAACACAAGTTGTTCATAACTTTGAACAAAACATTAAGATGGTTCTTTTAAAAACTTGCAACTGACCATTGACATAATACAGGCTTGAAACTTTACTATTCAGAATATGCTTGTTTCCCCTTTATTTTGTTACAGGATAATATTGTGTTAAGCTGTTGTTTCCTTTTTTGTCTCTGCTGCTGCCCGATTGTGTATTTCTGATTCCAAATGAGGTGATATTCATAACTCTGAGGCTCTATTGTATGTCATTGGGACATGCATTTTAAAAGCTCTAGTACGTGCTGTGGGATTAATTTGTGCAATTATAAATGACAATGTTAATGCCCTTGAAACCTCAGGCCCTGCTTATCTTACAGCTTGCTTTGACAGATCAGTGGCTCTCAACCAAGAGGCCTGGATTCCAAGGGAGAGGTGGAGACTGCAAATAAGTTTCAGAGGGTCTGCCAAAATGAATCCGAGCAAGGCCAATCCTCTTACTGGGGCCCAGGGCAGAAAGGTCTGGTCTACACTAGACCAGGAAGTTCGGCCTAATGTATGCAACTCCAGATATGTAAAATGTGTAGCTGGAGTCAGCTTACCTTATGCTGAGCCTTGGAGGTGTCCACAGAGCGAGAGGCTTATGGGAGCATATGCTCCCGTCAGTTTCCCTTATTCCTTGCAAGAGGAGTAGTACTGGATGGCGGCAGGGGCTACACCAGACCTGCTAAATCAAACACTAAACTTTCTGTAAGTATAGACATGCCCAAAGTGAATCCTGAGCCCCACTAATTAGGGCTGCAGCCATAGCCTGAGCAATTTAGCGTTGCAGGGTTCCCTTTGGCATGGGGCCCTCAGCAGTTGCTCTACTTGCTATGCTCTAATGCGGACCCTGCTTTTTAATCTATTGAAAAGCAGTTGTGGTGGTGGGCCATGGGATTTTTTTTATAGCATGTTTGAGGTGGGCAGCTCAAAGAGAAGTCGAGAACCCCTGCTATTATTTATTAACGTGTATTGAACATCAATGTTTCATGTGAGTAATAGCTGGATATTATGTGTTTACCATTCCCATGGTTCATAGAGGGATTGATATTTAGTCTTAATCCTTCAAAAACATCTTGTATGTTAAAACTGCAGAAAATTTGATAACTAGCTATTCTATGGGTCATATTGCTTTTTGGTAGAATAACAAGTTAATGTTTTTTGTTGCACTGAGTTTGTTTTGGAAAAATAGAAACCATTTTCTCCTCTGTAGCACCTGCATTCATTTTAACTTTCAATGTTTTTATGTTGTAAAAACAAAATTATGGGAAATTATTGAAAAACTCTTGGACTTCAGTTGAGTTCCAAATCCTCATTGGCACCAACAGAAACCAGATTTCATTCCATTTTTAAGGTATTTGTATTCTTACTCACATTATTTGAGTTTTAAATGTGAGCCAGCTGCCAATAATACTTGTCAGTGGCATCTAGATCAATTCATGATAGATAGAGGATGTGTTTTGTTTAGGAAAGAGACGAATGTCATAGATATGAGTAACTTTTAACAGTATTTTCCTGTCATCTTCTGTTCTCTCCCTGTTCTGATAATTGGAGCACTTAATGTACATAGTGTTGAATGGGAAAATGTTCCTGTTGAGTGTCCTGGCAGTTACCAGCCAGGAGCAGTGTTCCCTCTGTGCAGAGAGCTGACTGACTGGGAAGGCTGACTAATCACCTGTGAAGCTGTGCTGTGGCCTAGCTTAGAGGGAACACTGGCCAGGAGTTAGAGAGAAAATGGGTAGCCTTTATATAAAGGCTTCAGGAAAGAAAACAGAACAATCAGTCTACTGGCATAGCTCCAATTCATAGATCTGTTTCTATAAGGTTGAATGTTCTGATGGGAGATGGTTTATAAAGAAGTTGAAGTCTGGAGAAGCCAACAGAAACTAGAAGAGGCTAAAGTTTGAACAACTTGGAAATGTGGTTACAGAACACAAAGTGCATAATATAGAACATAGAAGTGACTAGAAACAACAAATCACTGGAGGAAATATAGAAATCTGAGCACTAAATCTTCACAATGCAGAAGAAATAATTGTGCAGAATGAGTAAGAAATCAAATAGCATTGCAATAGTGTCATGTGCAGGGGACAGGAAGAGGAAGAATACTTCATCTATGAGTGCAGGATACTAGTGTAAAGTTGATCTTTCAATTACAGAAACCTAGCCTCGTACTTGGGCATCTAAATATATGACCAGTTTCTCAAAAGTGAGTGTCCATCAGCTCCAATTGTGGATAACTGAGTGACAGAATTTCTCTTTCCAGACCTCCTACTCTTACGACAGTCTGGGAATCAGCTTAGAGCAACTCCAGGGATCTATAAGTTAGCATTGATTTTAAAATGTGTCTTGATCCTCAGCAACGTGACATACTTCTTTCTGCTTCTGGGAAGTGCACTTCCAGTGATTAGAGTGCAGCAGTGCATATAATACCTCATTAGTACCTGTTTAAACACAAAATGTAACTTGTTCTTGAGCACAATATGTTAAATGTTTTTCCAAATTGGGTAAAGATACATGTTCCCATTTGTTTGAAACACATCAGATTTTTTTTAAAACAGATATAAAACCCAGTAATGCTTCCTTATGTTGTTTTAAATGCTCCTTTTCTAGATCCATCTAAACCTACCTCATCTTGCATCTTAGGAACCTCTTCCTGGTCAAAGCAACCTGGCGCACACTCAGTATTCCTAGAGAACATCATGTAATAAGTCTCTGAATTGGCTGTACATGCTCTGACTTTAAGAATGCACGAGATTTCTGGTGACAGAGCTTCAGGGGCCTTGTAGAAAGTAAGCCCTGACTGAGGCGGCACAGCTGCCCACTTTCAACACAGAACATTTAAAATTCCTAGGTTCCAAAAGAGCGGTGCAGTCCTGGCTACCTCAGTTCCTTCATTTCCATAGCTAGCTGTGGGGTTTGCACCTTCTCTTCAGACCCAGAGCAATCTTTGAGCTTTTAATACAATAACCCTATTATAGTTAAATGGCATCTAACTTCCTACTGTACTGAAGTGTTCAGCACTTGAAAGGAAATTAAGCGCAGATGTGTGAAATGTATTAAAATCTAGTACATAGGTGTCTATTGTATTTAAATGTAAGTCATTAAAAAAAGTTGGTACGGTGATCTTAATTACAAAAGCTTCCTTTTGCATAACAGTAAAATAAACATGCTCTCTATTTCCACTGTAAATACAAACTTTGGATATCAGAATCCAAGAGATTAAAAATTCATAAGTCACGTGATGACTTACGAGCTTAACTTTTCTTGATTTTTTTCCACCAACTTTTATTACATATCCATTTTAATTTGCTTGATTTTTTTTCTCTAACCCGTAAATTATTATATTTATCCTAAATAACAAAATGCAAAATCCTACCTTAACTTTGGAACAAATTTGTTCTGCATAGCCAAACTCAGTAAAACATTTTAAAAATGCAACTGTAAAATAAATTAGCTCTGTCAAAATTTACTTTAGAGAACAGATTAAATCTCCACTTTAAAAAATATCTTGAAGAAATTCTTTTCGGCTCTACTCCTAATTGTCAAGCAGACAGATCAGTTTAAAGCTACTGTATGACTATTCACTACAATTACAATCTCATTGCATTGATACTATCTTCAACATCTTTAGTACTTAGAATACAATACTACTTGGGGACAATTTATCATTTACTCAGGTGCCCATGTGCACAGTAGAAGATTTTTGCCTTTGTGCTATCTCTAGGGTTGGCTTTAGTGCCCCTTGAGTGCCAAACTCAGGCACTGGTAGACTAGGTGCTGCCAACCCTATGGCCCCTCAGTTCCTTACCAGTGCTTGGTTGAAGCTGCATGTTTTGCATCATGAGTGTTAGGTATTCTTACAGTTCTTTAGGCACTGCAAGGGTGGTTTCTTGTAGATCCCTAAATGGGTTTCAGACTGTATGTAAAGCTACTGCATGATACCAAAGAGATCTCCACGGACACATTTGATTTGAGCCTCTCCAGCTTCCACTACATCACTGAACAATATTCCACTGTCTGAGCCATGATGACTTGCTGTTTGGTTTGTACTTTTACTATGCTCCTATACTGTCAGACAGGCCTCTAGATCAAACTCTGTTAGCATGTAGCTCTTGAATCTATTTATATAGGAGTCCTATTACCCATCTTTGAGCAAGGATGGAATCTGTATGGAAATCACTTGATAGCTAAAAGAACCAGTTACCTTAAACCACCAAGGTTCTTCAAGATGTTTTCCACATAGAAAAGAGATTGAAGAATCTCACTAATTTGAGTCTTCATTGGCAAAAGAATTGAGAAACAGTTGACGCTGTCCCCCACTCCTTGTGCCCTGGGCTACAACTGTTGCAAAGATTCTTGGGTCACAGATATTGATCTACTGGACACTGCTATTCTAAAGAATCTCACCTTATGCATAAGGGATGCAATGTGTCCAAAGAAGGACAGCACTTCTCAAGTAACTGGAGTTACTGTAAGGTTCGTAACTTTCTGGTGAGCAATGGCCACAACTCTGACTAATGATGCCAGCAGTTTCAAAACCTTTTATAACCGTGAGAGAAACATGACTGATACTTAAAGGGAAACAAGAATACTAAATACTAGCTGTTGCATTGTAGGAGTATGTCAGAAACAATCATTAAGACTGTCAAACCTATATGCATAAATATTTACTTAACCTAGGTTTTCTCTTGTAAATCAAAGCTGTTCTCTCATCCTCTACCCCAAATTAAACCTACACAGAATTTCATGATCCTCATTAATTACTACTAAATATAATTTAGGTAAATATGCTTCTCTGGAAAAAAAATACTTCCACTGTTAATAAAAAGAGTTTTTGAGGTAGTAGCTATTTTGTTCTACAGTTGGGGGAGAGAAGTCTTACTGATTTACCTTAACTGCAAACCTTGTTTCTTTTTTTTCCAATGACATCTTCTGACAATTTTTTGAAAGTTCAGATAGTATCCAATAACATTATCATAGAAAAAAACCACTGTATCCATGTGGATCAACTTTTGTGAAAGGGTCAGTTAAGTTCTTACGCAGTTCACACACTTCACTTGATCAATTCCCAAGGCACAATGATTTGAATACCGTGTGTGCTGCTTTCAGTCTTCCACCATTAGTGATGCAAACCTATTGTTAACATCACACAATGGCTGAGCTTCCAATGTAGCATGCTGTCTGGTAGTCTGTGCTTGCTTATTTTTTTCTTTGCGGGACTTGGTCTTTGTGGTTGTCTCCTGGAAGAAGTCTTGAGGTACAGTTGACTTTACTGCATGAAGCAGATCACAATAAAGCTGGCTCATCTTTGGAGAGGAGATGAGCAGAGTCTCTGCTGCATGTGCTGATTTAAGCTCTTGACATAATCTGTGCACAAGGTTTCCACAATAAAGCCTGCCCAAAGGAAAGATTAAATTTAGAATCTTAACTATAGCTAGCAAAACTACACTGTTTAGTGTAAAAAAAAAAAAAAATTAAACTGCAGTCTTATTTGTGGTTTATGCTACTCAGTTATGTACCTCTAATGTACAATCAGTGATTATTAACTCTTTAAATAAAAGCCTGTTAAAGAAATAATCACAAAAGCATCTTGATGAGAATTTCAAATCCAGCCTGTCTCTAGGTATATATTTACCTAGAAATATTTCTTAGTGTGTTTTGGTTTTTAGAACCATCAGGTTAAAATAAAACCAAAAAACTTTCAGGTGTCAATTCAGTTTAACTTTTTTTGTTTTGGGTTTACTCAGAAGAAAAATAATTACTTTAGTAAATACTAGTTGCTGGGAATTAGGGGACAATGTGTATCTTCAAAGCATGATCCATCATGTTTTTTTTCACTTCAGAGACAGGAGTGCAGCATGATTACACTGTTACAGGGCTAGGCATGAAGGCAGTGGAAAGAAGGGCTTTAGACATACAAGTAACAAGTGCAGAACTAATTTGTCCAAGGGAGAGAGACTGCTTTAACAGCACCTTGAATATCTGAGCACTGAATTTAAATAAAGTGCATTTTAACCTTCCATAAGACTTGCACCTACTGGCTGACATTTGAAATCAGATTTAATACTGAAAAGACAGCTCTTACATATAAATCATACTTAAGTGTGAGAATCTTTAATAAAAAGTTTAAAAAGGGAAAATTCTGCACAAGTGAAAATGCTTTGGATCATAATGTCAGTGATTTCCAGATGCACTGAAATTTGTTTTTCATGTTTTCAAATTACTGGACCTTATCCTTCCTTGGTACAAGTCTACATTATGCAACCTCCTAGATATGTCACATGTATGAAGCATATATATTTATGTACTTTAGTCATTACCTTAGTTTGACTTCCTCACATGAATCATTTCATTGGCCTCAAAGGGTGTGCAAGATCAGGCCTGAATTTTCCAATTTTACACATTACCTGAATTAAGTCACAGTATGTACTAAAGCATTAAGGGTAATATTTTAATTATAACTGGGTTCAAAACATTTTTGACATTTTATATGTAATTGCCAAAAACTTTTTTGCTGAAACAGAAGCAGTTACCATTTGTGAAGTGCCAGTGTGTAGAGCTATACAACAGAATATGAATACCAAATTTAAAAGCTCCCTTATCCAAGGAGCTCACAATGCAGAAGCACAAGTATAATACAAAACACAATGTGAGGGTGCTTCATTATTGAAGTACCTTGTGATGAAGGTAGGTCTATTACAGGTTCTTACCGAGTTAGGTCTGGTTCAGGGAGAGGAGTCGAGAGTAGCTGGTTTAGATACAATCCCATCTGTAGGCAGCATTGCCACTGGCAGAAAGCGTGGGCTGTGTCTAAATCCAGTAACTTCTGAAAATGCTTTTCTTTCCATTTTAGAAATTGGTCATAGAGCATTTTATCATCTTTGCTGTGGAAAACTTCAGGATCTAGATTAGACAAGAACAGAGTATTTCTAGAGTTCTCATGCATTCTCCTTTACAAAGAATAGCTAGTATATGTATAATCATTGGTGCCTATGAACCTCCTAAACACTATACCAGGAAGTATCTGAAGTAATGTGTTTTCTGTTACTGTTTAAGTGGCTGAATCAGAAACAGAAGTATTCAATCCATTTGCTGTTTTGGGTATATGTTAGCTAGGTGTGCACACACCTGCACGTCTTGTGAGCCAACTGGGATCTTCAGTTATTTTCTACTTTGGGCCAAGTTAATAAGCAGCTGAGAATTGCCTGTACCACTGCTGTAGTCCAGAAATCTTTCTTCCTTCTAGACTATCATGAATTCCTCCTAAATCTGTGTGGCATCTTATGTTACCTACAAACTTTTCCCCACACTCCTAAAGATTTCAAACACTTAAATCTTGCTACTTTTGCCATTTTAAGATAGGATTTCCCCTCATGTTTTGGGGGGGAAGACCTTAAACAGGATTTAATCCCAAAGTACTAATTATTGCTCACTAATTTTATACAAATCCTATTGTAAATTTAACATTTCCAGTAGGTTCAATCATAAAGAAGCAAACAATCATCTTCTAAGCCTCATTTTGTATGTGTAAAGATTATAGCTGATTCTTGAGCATGCCACCTGTGATGAAATACCCAGTCAAAACAGGCCAAGTTAATTATAGTTTTAACATTAATCCTGCATGTTCTGGTTTCTTGTTAGACTATAGTTAAGGCTGACTTTAAAAATGAAGATTAATAGCAGAACTGAAGTGTTGCCTAGAGTGCCCAAGTAGAGATCAGAATCCTGTTGTGCCAAACACTACGCTTGAATATCTTTCCTGTTACAGACTAAGTCAGCTACCCCTTTGAAACTTATCTACTCACTGGCTACGTCTACACTGCCATGATTTTCTGAAAATGCTTTTAACTGAAAAGTTTTCCGTTAAAAGCATTTTCAGAAAAGCACGTCTAGATTGGCAGGATGCTTTTCCGCAAAAGCACTTTTTGCGGAAAAGCGTCCATGGCCAATCTAGACACGGTTTTCCTCAAAAAAGCCCCAATCGACATTTTCGCGATCGGGGCTTTTTTGCAGAAAACAGTACTGTGCTGTTTACACTGGCTCTCTTGCGCAAATGATCTCTTGCGCAAATGATTTGTGCAAGAGGGCTTTTGCCCGAATGGGAGCAGCACAGTATTTCCGCAAGAACACTGACAATCTTACATGAGATTGTCAATGTTCTTGCAGAAATTCAAGTGGCCAATGTAGACAGGTGGCAAGTTTTTCCGCAAAATCATCTGATTTTGCGGAAAAACTTGCCAGTCTAGACACAGCCACTGTGTCTCTTCTTCTTCCCCTTCTTTTTTTCTCTCCTTTCCCTTTCCCCTCCTCCCCCTTATCTTGGATCTGGACTTCTAACACTCCTGTCATCTGAAGAAGTAGACTGTGCTCACAAAAGCTCATGATGCCATCTACATGTTTTTTTAGTCTTTAAGGTGCTACTAGACTATTTGTTTTTAAAGTTTTTCCTGTTACAGACTAACTCTGCTACCTCTCTGAAGCTGTTAAATGTCTTTAATTTGGCAACCCTGGGAAACAGTCCTGTATTAAAACCCTGTATTAAAGAATTTGTCTTGTCAGGAAGGGTGCTGCAGAGTCTGGGGATGTGGGATGGGCATGTACCGGGCACCCCGCTCCTGGGGGTACGTGTCTCCATGTTCCCCACTGGTTCCCTGCTGCAAGAGTCTCAGGGGAAGCAAGTCCTTATGCTGCTGTTCCTTCATCTGGTGGCAAGGGGGAGCAGCAGCGTGCAAATCCACTTTCTCCTCAGCCTGCTAGGGACTGTACCATGGGTGTTCCCAGATTAGGGATACCCAGAGCACAGAGGTTCATGTATAAGTGTACACGTGGACTATGTCTGTCTTAGTTTATAATCTGAACTAGAACCTCAATGCCTAACTGTTGCCAGCATGAGTGTTCTTACTCTTGGATTTAGCCCTTTAGATAGTTCAGTTCAGGATTTTATGTATTTTTACTAATACTGACATTCTTTGGCCAAATGTCTATTAGTATTTTTCCCTTCCTGAAAGTATGAAGTTCTAGCAGAAAAAGAGAGGTAATAGCTTTACTTTAAAGCTTCCTTATTGACCCTGATTTGAATTAGAAAGCACTGTTAGGCTTGCACATAATGTCTCCTGTAAGTACAAAATGAGTTCAGTAAAAGTTCATTTCTAAGTAATATCAAAAGTTGTATCAACATTCGTTGCCTGTATGTTAAAAGTGCAAAATATTTTCAAACTTATAGTAATCCTGCCAACACCACTGCACAAGATACATATGGATTTTTACCCCTTTGAAGATGGGCAAGTGAGGGTCAGATAAGTTTGTCATTCCTAAAGACAAAGCAGGTTGGGAATAGAAGTCAAGAGCATAACTTCAACTCCATCAGTCCAAACTCTAATCTTCACCAGTGTATAAATTGAGTGCTGAGGACATAGTCTAGATCACCATTAATGGGAAACGGGCTGGAATACAGATTTGCATATAAATAAGAAACATGTCAAAATTTAATTCTTTAGAGACCTACCTGGGCTACTTGTTGTCCTGTGCAATTCCCCAAATACCATTCCTAGGAGTAAAGCCTGTAAATGATGCAATTTCACTTTGGGTTCTGAGTAATATGTCCAGAAGCAGGTTACAGCGACAGGGAGCCTCAAGGAACTGGGGCAGGGTTGTAGGATGCTGTCTTTTACTCTTAATGTCTCCAACAGAAGTTCTAGTCGATTTGATCTGGACACCTGCCAAAAAGTGGTAATTTGGATAGACGGTGATGAGGTCTGGCTTTATTTTGCTGAAAAAGTCCAACACATGCCATATCCACCTCAAGGCAAATGACTCCTGTATTAATGCTAAGATAGCTGCTACCTTTTCCTCCAAAATATACCAAACCTCAAATACTGAACTAATGAAAGTGACTTTAGAACTTCAACAGATTATTTTTAAAGAATTTGGAATGATGATTTAATCTAACAAATGGCCAGCACACTAGATTTTTGGAAGTGTGCTTAGATACTTAAATGGAGCTGAGAACTGAGCACAATGAAAACCTACCCCTATTAATTTGAAACCTCCTCCTCCTATCTTGGCAGACTGTCTTGTCTACATCACCTGCATTTCAAGGGCTAGCTCTGTTCCACACCCTGTAAACTTGTGCTATCACACACCTAACAATCCATAGCATTGATCTATACTCCCAGTGGAATCTTCTACCCAGACTTTGGCAGAGAACTGTAGTTATTACTGTTTGAACTCTCAACACAGGTATGTGAAAATATGGATTCATAAATTTAGTAAATGAAACTTGCTTAAAATCCAAAGCCATTACAGTAACACTGGCGCAAACCTGTGCATGTGCACATATATATATATATTCCATAGCATTGATCTATACTCCCAGTGGAATCTTCTACCCAGACTTTGGCAGAGAACTGTAGTTATTACTGTTTGAACTCTCAACACAGGTATGTGAAAATATGGATTCATAAATTTAGTAAATGAAACTTGCTTAAAATCCAAAGCCATTACAGTAACACTGGCGCAAACCTGTGCATGTGCACATATATATATATATATGGGGCAGCCATTTAAATTTAAATGAAGCCGCGATTATTTTAATTGCGGCTTCATTTCCCTCTGCCGATCTGGCTAATCTACATGCCTCCGTCGAAGGAGGCATGTAGTCTAGACACACCCTGGGTGGATCACTTGATGATTACCTATTCTATTTGTTCCCTCTGGGGCACCTGGCACTGGGCACTGTCAGAAGGCAGAAAACTAGTCTAGGTGGACCATTAGTCTGACTCAATATGGCTGTTCTTATGTAACAACAATATAGTGTTATGAAAAATACAGAAGCATGCCCTTTCTCAGAAAATATTTTGTATTATAGCATTGCCATCCCCAAAGTTTCAGTAATTATGAATCAGACTCCAGCAGTCATGAGACTGGCTTTAAAATAATGTGACTGGCTTTAAAATAGTTTTTGCACCTTTATATTCAATTTTTTGAGCTTTTTGTTATAACCATGAGGGCCAGAAGGTTAATTTATTTAAAAAAGGTGGAGGGGGTAACTAATTTGACTTTAGGAACTAGGGCTTTAAGAAAAACACCAATATGGTGAGACTTGTGAAATAAAAAATGGTAACATTGCTTTTATAATAAAGTGACCCTTCATAGCCTTTTCGGCTCTATATTTGCCTTTTTTATAGGAACCTTCTCCCAAGCAGGAGTCTGGCCTTTTAGATCTGGCAATATCAAGCAGCTGAAGCCATTAAGTGGCTGTACTATACCTGAGCAATGCAGTTATACCAACCTAACCTCCCCATGCAGACAGCATTATGTCATTGGCACAGCTTCTCCCATCAACATAGCTACTACAGTAAAACTCCAATAGTCCGGCATCCAATATCCGGCACTCCTGATAGTCCGGCATCAAAATGGCAAGAGCCTAGTGAGTGAACTTCGGCAAAAAATGAGTTACAAGGTAACAGTGACAGCAGCTGAACTGAGCAAAAGGTGTAAAAAGGGCTTAAAAAAACGAAAACATTACAGCATACTGTATATGTACAATACAATAACATACAGTATGTACAATAAAAAGGGTTAAGAACACTTTATATACAGTATATAATGTGCATATATATATATATATATATATATATATATATATATATATATATATAAAAATAAAACTTAACTGAAAGATTGCAGTTGCAGAGTCAAGTGCTTAAAAGTTGGGAATTACTGTTACTATATACAGCGTGGCCAAACAGATCTGGCATATCCTAAAAGAAGGAACAGGCTGCAGATGAGACTTGGTTCTATAGTACTGGTTGTAGATTCTATTCCCAGCTATCCCTGAAGTGACCTTGTACAACCTTACAATTATGTACCCTTTAAAAAAGGATGAGGATATTTTCCTTCCCCTTGAAGTAGGGATAATGAGGTTTTGATCAATAATCCTGAAACACATAGGACTGCCACCTTGAGTCAACAGAAGACCTGAGACTAGAACTGTTTCCTTCTAGGTCCCAGCCCAACAAACTTTCTCCAGCCTAAAATATTTTCTTCAGGTGCTGCTTTGTCCAATTACTGTTTGCAGCCATGTAGGAAGCTTTACACAGCTCAAAGTATACTCAGTCACACAACAGGTCCTGTCAACCTGTGGAACTCCCTGCCAAAGGATATTGTGAAAGCCAGGACTTTAACAGGGTTCAAAAAACTAGATAAATTCATATAGGATCAGTCCATCAATTGCTATTACCCAGGATAGGTTGAGATGGTGGCAACAGGGGATGGATCACTTGATTACCTCTTCATTCATTCCCTTTGGGGCACCTGGCATTGGCCGCTGTTGGAAGACAGGATACTGGGCTAGATGGACCTTTGGTCTTATCCAATATGGTTGCCATGTTCACTGCAGATGGCACACACAGCTGGGGGGCTGGAATTTACACAGTGCAGGTGAATTAGGTTTTAGCAGAAAGCCTCTTCTGTATATAGTCAATATAGCTTGTGACATTTTCTGAAGTATGTACCTTGATCAAACCCAGACTCTATTTCATGAGGACAAAAAACCCTCAATCAAGGATTACTTCTCATGCAAAAAGGGTTTCTGATCTGAAATGTTGGGCCTAAATGGTTTGTCAAAATTGTATGTTAATGAAAACAGGGTTATAATGGAAAGTTTTAGGCAAAATTAAATATAGGCCTTTATCGCCTCCACCTATGACGTGAGTTTTTTTTAAAAAGTTAAATACATAACTAACATCTCTAAATGCTGCAAACCAAAGTCAATGATCCTACACTTATTACATATAGTGCTTACTACAAGTGACTTCTGTAAGACTGCTCCTGGTAATTACTATATCTGATAGCAAATTGACTATATTAACACTCCAGTTATTTTCCCCTATTAAAACACTGATGGGTATCCAGCATATCTTTTCTTACAACCATACCTGAGTTAATGTGGCCAAAGGGTGATGGTCTTTACAAAAATCCAGAGGCAGCACTGTTGTTGGAACAAAAGATTTTTTAAGTGTCTTTTGGACTCTGTCAAATTCTCGGACAACTGGGAGCTTGTTTGATTGTTTACTTGGGGAAGTAACATCATTTTGAGAGGTATTCAGAAGTAGCCCATAGATGATTTGACGAATGGGCAGGGCAACTGTGTGAGCACTAGGTCTCTGCATGTTCTCCACCTGGACATGAAGGATTGTTCTTCTTAATATAAGGGCATCACTAATGAATGGAGACAAATTACCTTTTGCCAAAGCCTCAAGCATCCATTGTGGCAATTCTAATTTCCTGGCCACCTCAGATTCATAATTTCCATTCTGAAAAAAGTCCTCAAGATTCACATCAGACTGTCCATAATCCTCCATGGATGAGTACAGAAGCTCCCTTATTTCTTCTCTTTCATGCTTTTTAAGATATTTCAGTACGTTGTCTATAGCCTCTGTGGGGTCAGCAAAACGAGACAACCAGTTTAGAAGTCCCTGAATGCGGATATGCTTCCTCCCCTTCCAACCAGAGCCTCCAACCGGCAAGCGCACCTTGCTGAAGAACGTCTCCAAAGCTGGCAGATTAATGTAATCATTACCATTCATCACAGCAAAGAGAGGAAGAAGGGCTTTGTTCATATGACTGAAGTGGCTGCATAGTCTTTCTAAAAAGAAGCATCGAGCTGGAATGTAGCACTCTAGAGTGCTTTCACAAGTACAAAGGTTTCTCCACTGAAAGTAATTCAGAGGGCAATATCCAGCTTTTAGATCAAAAATACAGAAGTCACTGTCTAATGTTAATACAGGACAATTCCAGTGATTAGCTAATGACATAATATCCTTATCTGCTTCGGAGAAGCACTGAACAAAAGGCACTTCTAATTTGGTCAAGACTTGCTTGAACACCTCTCTGGTGAGCAGGGGTAGCACACTTCCACCACCACCTCTAGAAATAGAATATGCTACTTGGATTTTATCCCTGGCTCTTTCCTTTAATGTTGCAAACTTCTTATCCGACAAGTCACATCCCCCATCTAACAAAACATATGGGTATATTTTGCATACAGACAGAGTTTCAAAAAACTTGTGTACAATATCTGTAAAAGAATCGTAATCTCCTCCATGTTGGAGGTCTAGATTTGATTCAAAATAAAGCCGATGAAACAAATTATTTCCATCGATGATTATTTTTGTATTCCTTAATTGCAGATCAGTGAAGAACTGCTTGTGCTCTCCCACATAGCTCATTAATCCATGGATACCCATAATGGTAGCAGGTAACAGCTGTAGTAAAACAAATAAAAACATTAATTTTTAAGTACAAGTGCACAAAATTTAGCCCTAGCCTGGTGATCAGCTAAACCTCCCCCCCCCCCCCCCCCCCCCCCCCCCCCCCCCCCCCCCCCCCCCCCCCCCCCCCCCCCCCCCCCCCCCCCCCCCCCCCCCCCCCCCCCCCCCCCCCCCCCCCCCCCCCCCCCCCCCCCCCCCCCCCCCCACACACACACCTTGTCAACTTACCTCAGTGCTACATTTGAGTCCAAAAGTGGCTGTTAGGAAACTTTTCCTCGGGAAAAAGGAATTAAACTGGTCACCTGTAGCTTTTTCCCGACAGGTCAAATTGTTTTGAAGTACAGCTGCTAGAATTAAACGACCTCAGCCACATGACAGGGCACTAACTATGTGAAGGGCCTTTTCTAGCGCCATCCATGGCCATTGAAATTTACACCACTGGAAAGGGAACTGCTGTCACGTCTACTCTCTGGCCTGTCTGCGTAGTCGCATTCAGTGATTCCCCCACGTACGCGCTAGCTCCATGGAAAGGTCTGAGCTGGCCCATAGGGCGCGCAACTGGTTTTGGGTGATTTGTTGCGCCTCATGTAGCTTCTGTAGCACTAAACCTGTCACTCAACTGCAGGGACCGTCTCCTCACCCCGCCCCCATTCTACAGCCTGCGGGAAGCGGTTACAACGTTTCACCAGGAACGGTCTCGCCAGGGCTCGGGCAGCGCTGCACACGGCCCCGGCTCGGGGTTGCCTGTGGGGGAAGAGGGGAGGGGGGGGGTCTCTAAATGGCCTGACAGCAGCGCGGCGGCCCCGTTCTCCTGCTGCTGGGCCGCGACGTTGGCTGCCCCGATCCGCCCCGCACCCCCATCCCCGCGCGTGCACCCCACCCCAGCGAAGACACCGGGGGAG